CTTAGTACACACATGATTATCAGGTGTGCCTACAAACTTGAACTCTAGAATCCAAAAAATTTCAAAAAGGAAATCTGGCCCAGGCCTTCCTTTAGGGACATCTGAGCATGCACCACCCCTCACCCCTTCTTCCCAAATGCCTCAGGTGTGGCGATACCACCCTGACTTCCTGAGGCAAGGAGTAATGAAATCTTCCCTCTCCAGCAGGCTCAGCCTCCTCCGCAGTCCTGGTGCCCAGGGCCCTGGGCTCACCTAGGCTTCTGGGGTGGCCGATGACCAGCAATAGCAACAAACCAACACTGGCCAGCACACGCATAGCCTCCATGCTTCGGCCTCGCACGTCCTCCCTCCCTGCAGGCTGCGAAAACTCTGGGGGGAAGGCGGGGCAGCGCTCTTTATTCCCTCCCGTGGCGCCTATGGGCAGCACCTGCCGTGGCGCCTGGGTTCACAGGTGTCCCTCTTCACGATTATTTGATCATTGTGAGCTGCTGCCACTCTCTGGTCATCCCTGCTGTCACAGCGCCCTGCCACCCAGCCTTAGAGACTGGCGCGAGGTGGCCCAAGGGGCGGCAGGGGTGCTCACACGTGTGCAGAGGTTCCTGCCAGCAGATCCAGAACAAGCCAATCAGTGGCCTGGAACGCTTAGCCCTGCGAATTCTGTCTCAGATTGGCGAATGCGGTTCAAGCTCAGGGGCAATGAAGCTGGTTCCCCACAGGAAACACAGGCAGGACTGCTGAAAGGCGGAGGCTCATGAAGCTTAGTACAATACTGCCACTTCTAAGAAGCTTGTTGAAGCCCTTCACCCTCTAGAGTTTTCAAAGAGTGAATAGGAAAGATCAAGCTCGAGCTGACATCATTTTCTGCGTGGCAGTACTGTCCTCCATTTCAGCAGAATGGGCCAAAAGCTGTAGAATCCATCATTTAAGATGATTAAAATCAATCTATTGGTGAGATGTCACTGTTTTCCTTGAATATTATTTTGTAAGGCTGAATTTAGAAGGCAAATAAAGCCTGAATTTGTAATGGTCTTACATTTTGTCAGAAAATCAGGGCAACGCTAAGTGGACATTCTATATATATCTCAAATAACCTGGCCACCAGTCCTCCAGTGCCAGTTGGAGGATTTTACTTTCAAGTGCTCTATTTTACTTTCATGTAAAATAGAAATAAAAGCTTCTTGAGGTAGGCGGGTACATAAACTAAGGGAGACAGGTGGGAGATGAACAGGTAGATGGGAAAACAGAAGGCAGTCAAGGTGGAGATAATGTAAGCACAGGTACAAGCAGGTGACAATCTACTGGGTACAGTGACCTCTGTGACTACAGGAGAGAACAGAGGGTAAATGGACACCTTTTGATGAAAAGCCTTAAAAAAGTGAATGATGCCTGGCGTTGTGGCATGTGGCCTATAGTCCCAGCTGCTGGGGAGGCTGAGGCAGGAGGATGGCTTGAGCCCAGTTCTGGGTTGAACGGCACTATGCCAATCTGGAGTCTGTTCACACTAAGTTCAGTATTAATATGGTGACCTTCGTGGAACAGGGCACCATCAGGTTGCCTAAGGAAAGGTGAACTAGTCCAGGTCGGAAACGGGGCAGGTCCAAACTCCTTGCAGTTCAGTAGTGGGATCTCACCCATGAAAAGCCACTGTGCTCCACCCTGGGCAACACAGCGAGACCTTGTCTCTGAAAAGAAAAAAAGAATTTTTTTTAAATGTGACTGGAACTCAAACTTGAAACATACATCTCAAACCTTCTTGTTTCATGAACCTGAAAGCGGTTTCTGTGATTTTTTTTGCTTTGGTTTTTTTAAAACAAGGTCTCACCCTATCACCCAGGCTGGAGTGCAGTGGTCCAATCTTGGTTCACTGCAGCCTCAACCTCCTGGGCTCAAGTGATCCTCCCATCTTTGCCTCTCAAGTAGCTGGGACTACAGGAGCACACCACCATGCCTGCTAATTTTTTGTATTTGAGGTGTAGTTCACCATGTTCTCAAGGCTAGTTTCTGTGATTCTTATGTCCCGAGTTCCACTACACGAAAAAGCTCTGGAACTCCAC